CAACACAGTGGCACAATAACTCACTAACTTTGTTCAGACCAATATGTTCATAGAGATTATCAAATTTGCAACATTTTGAAGACATTTCAGTTTTAACCCCTATTTCATCTACTAAATCGATTAATCAGTGCAGAACCCCCTGAAGATCTCGGTTAGAATGATCTTCAGCAACTGACCACGTTTGTCTAGAGAGGCGACCAACAGGATCGGGTGGTCAGGCTCGATGACTTGGCTAACACACGTCATCGTATCCAAATTGCGTAGATCGATGCTCATGATGTCAATCACTGGATTGTCTGGTCCAGACTCGATGATTTACAGGCCGTTGTATAGCTGGAAGATAGCTGAGTAGCGTTAAACAACAACCAAACATCGGTGTATAAAATTGTGAATAAACAATCGTTCTGTTGAATTGACTGGTAGGTCTAATATTCGACAGTAAAAACGATTAAAATTATATGTCATTGATTTTCAGGTATCAATCCAGTGAAAGAACCAACTGGAGCACTGGACTTTGCGTGTGGCATGTGACTTATCATGGCCTACGTCATTTAATAGTAAGATCGCCAATATACTGAGAGACCAAAAATACTTGAAAATGTAAACAACAATTTTAAATACTTTGAGACAATATTCTTCTTTTATAGTAAGTTGATCAATATATTTTTTTAAATTTTAAATATTCATCTCCTGAAATTGGGTACAGTATTTTCATTTTTTCTCAAATCTAAACGGGGCGGTGGATTAGCCCAGTAGTTAAAGCGTTCACTCGTCAAGCCGAAGACCCGGGTTCGATTCCCCACATGGGTACAATGTGTGAAGCCCATTTCCAGTGTAGCCCACCGTGACGTTGCTGGAATATTCCTAAAAGCGGCGTAAAACCAAAACTCACTCAAATCTGAACACTTTCGTGGTCGTGATGTATCTTAGCAGTTACGGCCATTGATCAGAAACTTGTTCCAGGTTTCTTAATGAAAATGTCAGATATTTGTCATAATTGACCACAAATGCTAAAAATGTACTAAACCAATTAAAACGTTTTCTTCATAGGTTGTTTGACCTTGTTTACAATAACATACTGATTTGATTCGACTGACGTGTATGACTGAGCTATATCACAAGAGGGGCGGTGGGGTAGCCTAGTGGTTAAAGCGTTGGCTCGTCACGCCGAAGACCCGGGTTCGAATCCCCACATGGGTACAGTTTGTGAAGCCCATTTCTGGTGTCCCCCGCCGTGATGTTGCTGGAATATTGCTAAAAGCGGCGTAAAACCAAATTCAGTCAGTCAGCAGTATATCACAAGATGGATGACCACCAACAGTGACTTTCACCCTATATCCACAGCAATATTTTTGCAGCTCCATCCTTTGGTGTTTACATTTCACCATCTTTGAGATGCAAGGGGTAGACATGATTTCAAAGAGCGTCATACGACACTTGCTCGGAAGTTGTTTCAACTTGTTTACACTATTCTAGGCAACGGTAGGCTTTAAAAATGTTTTGTGGTATACATGTAGAGGGCATTTGCAATTTGACGCATCGTGAACCATAATTATGTCCGATGCAATTACCGATGTTTACGTGTTTTTTAGGTTAACAATTGACGTGCCCCTGCGTGTATTTGTTATGGGTCCCATCGATGGGACACCTGGTATCATCGCTTTTTTAAATCAAACACTCTACTTCCAATTTGGAATGGTTTTGTCGATTTTATTTATTGATAAATGTGAATTAATTACTTACTTGCAGAAGCGTTTTCTTGTTGATTTTTAAATAAACAAGAACAAGTCAACTGGAACCTTTACAGAAAAAACGCTGGACTAACCATGCATGATATGAAACGCGGTATACCAATTTAATTAATGTAATGTGTATAATATTGAATGGTGATAGTTTATTGATGACAACATACTAAATCTTACATGAATCACAAACCCGTGAGATCCGGGTTAGAATGAACCTTCAGCAACCCATGCTTGTCGTAAGAGGCGACTAACGGGATCGGGTGCCGAGTGGTCAGGCTCGCTGGCTTGGTTGACACATGTCATCGGTTCCCAATTGCGCAGATTGATGCTCATGCTGTTGCTCACTTGATTGTCTGGTCCAGACTCGATTATTTACAGACCGCCACCATATATAGCTGGTATATTGCTGAATGCGGCGTAAAACTAACCTCACTCACTCACTCACTACATGAATCACAAAAATCTGATATTCTCAAAATTTCGATTGCCTTTGACTGCATTGCATGTTGATCACAACAGATGGTCGATGCTCTCGAGGAAATAGTGACAAATTAGTGCTACAGCGGATGTTGCCAGTCAGAAGTTAATGTCACACAACGGCAGATAACTCTAATGAAGAGCAAGCTGGGGTGCTACGGTATAAACCTTTATCACCTAATATATAACATGGAACGTTTTGTCAACGATTGCACGTTTGTCTTTCTGTCATTTATAATATGAAACTACGTTCGGGTGTGACCGCCTCCGTGGTTTAGTGGTTAGAGCGTCCGCCCGAAGAGCGGAAGGTCGCGGGTTCGATCCCCGACCGCGTCATACCAAAAGACGTTAAAATATGGTACTTGTTGGTCCCTGCCTGGCGCTCGGCATTAATGGGTACAACACAAGGACTGGTCGGCTCGGAGTCAGTATAATGTGTCTGAGTGGGTATTCATGCTTCACTGCGGCATGGTATCTCAGTGGGCTAGCACTATAAAACCAGCTTAAGTCTGGGCTAGTACAAGCAGCCGCACATACACATACACACGCATGCACGTCGTCATATGAGCGAAATATTCTCAAGCACGACGTTAAACCCAATTTCACCTCACCTCACCTCACGCTCGGGTGTAGTTAAAATGTAAACGTTAGGGGTGACTTTTGAGGGGGAAACAACTATTGCGATAGCGATAGTCTATTGCAACATACTATTGCGACCAACTATTGCAATACTATTACAATTGTTTTCTCTCTCCTTAAATTGTCTCATTTGAAGTCAATCCCAAAATGAATGTATAGTTTATATGAAATAAAAACAAGCTGAAGTAGTTTCAGTCTCTCTTAATAACTGGGGGGCGGTGGGGTAGCCTATTGGTTAAGGCGTTCGCTCGTCACGCCGAAGACCCGGGTTCGATTCCCCACATGGGTACAAGGTGTTAAGCCCATTTCTGGTGTTCCCCGCCGTGATATTGCTGGAATATTGCTAAAAGCGGCGTAAAACCAAACTCACTCACTCACTTAATAACTGAAAAGAAATTCAGATCAAGTAAACAGTTAAAACCTAAACTGAACAAAGCTGCAAGTGCACTCAAACAATAAACAATCCCACAAATATTTGATAAAAATAAAGTCAATTACTAAACTATCGATGATAGTCACACATACTATCGATGCATCTATTGTTCTTGTTTCTTCCATCGATTAATTGCTATCGGAGACTCAACAATTGCAATCCATCGATAGTTCGATGCATCGTTACAGCCCTAGTAAACATTATCGATATCTCAACTGTCATCGTTTTTATTTCTTTTTGAACCCTCATAAGTACCGCCAATCGGCTGTCAGTCTGTCTTAAAGCAAAACAATTCTGTTTTGACGGTTGTATGCCGTGATTTTCAGTATATGAAATGGTTCGTTATTTTTCGTTTCCAAGAAGAGTAAAATTCATATATTCACAAGAAAACGTATATTGCCCATAATGGCTGTTGTCATTGTTTGGCTGTGACTTTACACTGTACACAATTCTGATTTTTATCAACTTAGGTGAACCTCACCAGGTAAAAGGTTGATGATGCGGTCACGATGAAAAACAGAACCTCTGTTTCTCTGTATCACTATCAAACAGATGGCGTACATACTTGAGACACATACTGTGGAATATGAGTGAGAGTGAGTATGGTTTTACGCCGCTTTTAGCAATATTCCAGCAATACCACGGAGCTGGGCCCCGTTTCACAAAGCTCTCGTAAGCCTAAGATCTCGTAACTTTTCTCGTAGCATTCGTACCTCCTATGTTGAAGTATAGGAGGTACGAATGCTACGAGAAAGGTTACGAGAGCTTTGTGAAACGGGGCCCAGCTGGACGCCACAAATGGGCTTCACACATTGTACCCATGTGGGGAATTGAACCCAGGTCTTCGGCGTGACGAGCGAACGCTTTAACCTCCGACAACGTAATATTCATTGCTTTTGTATTTTTCTGTTTAATAATGACCGTTGATGATACGGGTGAGGTGAATGGGATTTTATATGTGCAAGATTGTTGCACTTACATATAGCCTTGTACATGCATGAGTGGCTGCACGGTTACACCAGTCAGGCGAGTGCATGAGTGAGTCTGGTTTTACGCCGCTTTTAGCAATATTCCAGCAATACCACGGCGCTGGACACCAGAAATGGGCTTCACACATTGTACCCATGTGGGGAATTGAACACGGGACTTCATCGTGACGGGTGAACGCTTTAACCACTAAACTCCCAAACCACCTACACCAATATGGACGGATACCAATATATGGATGAACAGATCCCCATGCTGCTGTTTAAAATCTGATACCCCTACTAAATACAGAGTGATGTTTGCATTTAGAAATTGTTCCACGTGAAACAGAAGACTTTTGAAGAATGACTACAGTTTGCAAACGTTGTCATTACGAAAAGTAATAATGAACGCATTGTATAACAAAAAATATAGCCAATGGAATTATTAAAATAAAGGAAATTGATAAGCGGGTAAAAATCACATTTGTGCAATCAAAATCCATGAAAAATAAGAACTAACGTATAGATATAATTATACCACATTGGCTTTGTTTGATGCTCATGATATCAGTGAGGGGATTGGTAATATTGACATTCCGTCGTCTTATTGGTATAAAGGGTATATTTTTGTTTGCCGTGTAATTCTGTTTTCTGGTAAATTCTCTACTTTTCGTGGGAACCTTGGTGCTCCTCACAGCGCCATGTATAATACGGCGCGTATTGTCTCTGCAAGGAGCTCACTGATGAGAACCCGCTAGCGACAGCATTGTTGCAGTGTGGTTCACGAACGTTGATTGTGTGGACGCTGGTGATTTTGTCGTATTATATCCGCCTTTAATGAAGTTTATTTCGCTTTTTCCTCATCATATATTGACCAAGAAGTCAGTGACGTTGAAATGTAGGAAGATTAAAACGACCAGTGGCAGTGCGTCGATACGACATCTCAGTTCCTCGACGCGATTGTTGAATCGTGTACCGTTAGCCTGCCATCCTCAACAATTTCATGAACAATCTCCTTCTATCTTCAAAATGGGTAAGTTTGGTTACTTTGTACAGTGACTATTTTATTTATCGGGGTCCTTTATTGGCCCCTAGCTCCGGTTCACAAAGTGACAACGACTAAAATTGTAAATCTGTGTCTAAAGTGTTGTTACCTTGACAGGCTCCTGGGCAGCGATCGGGGGTAGACAAATGCACTTTACCGGGCGCGCCTTTTCTGACAGATAACGAATCAGTCTACCTCACAACCCACCCTATGCAATGAAAAGGCGTGTTTGTGAGATGATTCCAAAACATTAAGGTTCGTTAAGGTGCGTTTGGCGAGTAGTGCCCAACCCTAATATGGTCATAATGAGATGTTTAGGGACCGTTCATAATTTATTGTTGCTAGGGGGGTGATGATGATTTTTATGGAGAAACATGTACAATGTGAATGACTCCCACTAAAATTTATGTACAAAATAAGTGGAACCCCCCCCCACACACACACGCATGTCATGTACAAAATCAATTACCCCTCCCCTACCATAATTTCTAAGCATAATTTTAAACATATTTTTATGTACAAAATTGATGACCCCCTAGTTAGTACAAAATTGATGACACCCCCCTTGCTCGCCAGAACAAAATGGGTGCCCCCCCTCCTTTAAAATCATCATCACCCCCTAGCCATAAATTATGGACAGTCCCTTAGCAACGGGTGCCCAACCATACTAGGGGTCATAATAAGCTGTTTAGCAAGTGGTGCCCTAGTCCAGCATATAGCTAGACGACTTTGCACTATACCAAGGTGTGCGCGACGTCTAGCCGGCAAATTCAAGTTCTTTGACGCACTGCACTAGGCAGAGAGGCACAACAGATTTAGGCATAAACAAGGGTAGAAACTCAACCTATCGACTAATACATGTGCATGGATTGATAAAACTTTCTTTCATCTTCAAAACGAAACACTTACCTCCTCTAAAAACGACTCATTTTATTACTTAAATGACCTGAAACATAGAGACCACACCTACTTTCCACCATTTGTGCCATACTGTTATGGTAATTAGCGGTTGAATAAAAGTGGAAGCGCATTAAAACATATTTAGGAACAAATAGAAACTGCTAAAAGTTGGTCCCCTTCCTCAGCCTTCAGGCGTCATGTAATCCGCGGTCCGTTTAATCGATTTTTTTTGGATACAACTGCTAATTACCGCAAAATTTGACAAATGGTGGAATATTAGTGAGAGTCTTTATATTTCAGGTCATTAATAATAAAGTGAGTCGATTACAAATTTAGTAATGCATGCACATGTTGTTTTAGTAATGCATGCATGCATAATCGATAGGTTGAGTCTTCATTCTTGTTTTTGCCTAAAACTGTTCCGCTCAAATATCTTGCGGAAAGGTGCGTCACAGAAAATGCACTCGCCGTATAAACTCTATGTAGGCCTTGGCTGGATTAGAGTTTTATTCATATGAACTAGTGGTGCCCAACCCTACTAAGGGTCATAATGAGCTGTTTAGCAGGTGGTGCCCAACCCTACTAAGGGTCATAATGAGCTGTTTAGCAGGTGGTGCCCAACCCTACTAAGGGTCATAATGAGCTGTTTAGCAGGTGGTGCCCAACCCTACTAAGGGTCATAATGAGCTGTTTAGCAGGTGGTGCCTTAACCCTACTAAAGGGTCATAATGAGCTGTTTAACAGGTGGTGCCCAACCCTACTAAGGGTCATAATGAGCTGTTTAGCAAGTGGTGCCCAACCCTACTAAGGGTCATAATGAGCTGTTTAGCAAGTGGTGCCCAACCCTACTAAGGGTCATAATGAGCTGTTTAGCAAGTGGTGCCCAACCTGAATAAGGGTCATAATGAGCTGTTTAGCAAGTGGTGCCCAACGCTACTAGGGTCACAATGAGCTGTTTAGCAAGTGGTGCCCAACCCTACTAGGGTCATAATGAGCTGTTTAGCAAGTGGTGCCCAACCCTACTAAGGGTCATAATGAGCTTTGTTTTGCTACTATGGATCATAATGGGCTGGGTGCTTAGCAAGTGGTGCCCAACCCTACTAAGGGTCATAATGAACTGTTTAGCAATGGTGCCCAACCCTACTAAAGGGTCATAATGAGCTGTTTAAGCAGGTGGTGCCCAACCCTACTAAAGGTCATAATGAGCTGTTTAGCAAGTGGTGCCCAACCCTACTAAGGGTCATAATGAGCTGTTTAGCAAGTGGTGCCCAACCCTACTAAGGGTCATAATGAGCTGTTTAGCAAGTGGTGCCCAACCCTACTAAGGGTCACAATGAGCTGTTTAGCAAGTGGTGCCCAACCCTACTAGGGTCATAATGAGCTGTTTAGCAAGTGGTGCCCAACCCTACTAAGGGTCATAATGAGCTGTTTAGCAAGTGGTGCCCAACCCTACTAAGGGTCATAATGAGCTGTTTAGCAAGTGGTGCCCAACCCTACTAAGGGTCATAATGAGCTGTTTAGCAAGTGGTGCCCAACCCTACTAAGGGTCATAATGAGCTGTTTAGCAGGTGGTGCCCAACCCTACTAAATGGGTCATCAATGAGCTCATAACTTCCTAATGAGCTGGTGCCCAACCCTACTAAGGGTTTGGGCCGTTTAGTAAGTGGTGCCCAAGCTACTAGGGTCGTATGAGCTGTTCAGTGGTACTTCACCCTACACTTCATAGTCATTTTCAATGTTTAAGAAGTGGTAATCAAACTACTAACTCATAAGTATGACCTTGCTCTAGTGTTTCCTACTAAGTTGTCTTTGAACTGTTTAACAAGTGAGTGCCCAACCAGGCGACATGCGTTCATAGGTTGTTTAATAAATGTCACAATGAGCTCATAGAGTATTGTTCACATTCTCTTCACTGTTACACTAACTGGTGGTGCCCAACCCAGCCTACTCATGCTTAACAAAGATGGCAGACCCTACCCTACTAAGGTCTTTTTAGGCTTTTCAGTTTGTTTTAACTAATTCAGAATAGAATGTTCAAAGAGGTTGCCCTTCCTATTAGGGTTATAGTGGGCTGTTTGTGGTGGTGCCCAACCTACTAACTTTAAGTAATACTGTTTTTAAGTGGTAGCCCAACAGAATAAGGGTCAATGAGCTGTTTAGCAAGTGGTGCCCAACCCTACTAAGGGTCATAATGAACTGTTTAGCAAGTGGTGCCTAACCCTACTAAGGGTCATAATGAGCTGTTTAGCAGGTGGTGCCCAACCCTACTAGGGTCATAATGAACTGTTTAGCAAGTGGTGCCCAACCCTACTAAGGGTCATAATGAGCTGTTTAACAAGTGGTGCCCAACCTACTAAGGGTCATAATGAGCTGTTTAGTGGTGCCCAAAGCTACTAGGGTCACAATGAGCTGTTTAGCAAGTGGTGCCCAACCCTACTATGGGTCAATAATGAGCTGTTTAGCAAGTGGTGCCCAACCCTACTAGGGTCATAATGAGCTGTTTAGCAAGTGGTGCCCAACCCTACTAGGGTCATAATGAGCTGTTTAGCTTAAGTGGTGCCCAACCCTACTAGGGTCATAATGAGCTGTTTAGCAAGTGGTGCCCAACCCTACTAAGAAGTCATAATGAGCTGTTTAGCAAGTGGTGCCCAGTCATAATGAACTGTTTAGCAAGTGGTGCCCAACCCTACTAAGGGTCATAATGAGCTGTTTAACAGGTGGTGCCCAACCCCACTATGGGTCATAATGAGCTGTTTAGCAGGTGGTGCCCAACCTACTAAGGGTCATAATGGAGCTGTTTAGCAGAGTGGTGCCCAACCCTACTAAGGGTCATAATGAGCTGTTTAGCAGTGGTGCCTAACCGAATAAGGGTCATAATGAGCTGTTTAGCAAGTGGTGCCCAACCGCCACTAAGGGTCACAATGAGCTGTTTAGCAAGTGGTGCCCACGACCCTACTAGGGTCATAATGAGCTGTTTAGCAAGTGGTGCCCAACCCTACTAGGGTCATAATGAGCTTTTTAGCAAGTGGTGCCCAACCCTACTAAGGGTCATAATGAGCTGTTTAGCAAGTGGTGCCCAACCCTACTAAGGGTCATAATGAACTGTTTAGCAAGTGGTGCCCAACCCTAATAAGGGTCATGATGAGCTGTTTAGCAAGTGGTGCCCAACCCTACTAAGGGTCATAATGAACTGTTTAGCAAGTGGTGCCCAACCCTACTAAGGGTCATAATGAGCTGTTTAGCAGGTGGTGCCCAACCCTACTAAGGGTCACAATGAGCTGTTTAGCAAGTGGTGCCCAACCCTACTAGGGTCATAATGAGCTGTTTAGGTGGTGCCCAACCCTACTAAGGGTCACAATGACTGCTGTTTAGCATCATAATGAGTGGTGCCCAACCCTACTAGGGTCATAATGAGCTGTTTAGCAAGTGGTGCCCAACCCTACTAAGGGTCAGCAATGAGCTGTTTAGCAAGTGGTGCCCAACCCTACTAAGGGTCCTGTTTAAGAGTGGTGCCCAACCAGAATAAGGGTCATGATGAGCTGTTTAGCAAGTGGTGCCCAACCCTACTAAGGGTCATAATGAACTGTTTAGCAAGTGGTGCCCAACCCTACTAAGGGTCATAAATGGCTGTTTAGCAAGTGGTGCCCAACCCTACTAAAGGTCATAATGAACTGTTTAGCAAGTGGTGCCCCAACCAGAATAAGGGTCATAATGAGCTTCGTTTAGCAGGTAAGTGCCCAATGAGCTGTTTAGCAAGTGGTGCCCAACCCTACTAAGGGTCATAATGAACTGTTTAGCAAGTGGTGCCCAACCCTACTAAGGGTCATAATGAGCTGTTTAGCAAGTGGTGCCCAACCTACTAAGGGTCATAATGAGCTGTTTAGCAAGTGGTGCCAACCCACCATGCCTACTGCCAAAAGGGTCATAATGCAGCTGTTATTACAGCAGTATCACACGTGCGCAGTCCTGGTCAATTACAATTCCAGTAGTTTTTCGCACGGCATTTGACAACAATGAAGGACAGAAAAAGAAAATTCTTCACGGTAAGTAACTTAAAGAGAAATTAAAGATAACATTATGAACCCTAT